ATGGAAGTGACAGCTACACCATGGCATCTGAGTTTCTGGGAAATCCAGGCCTTTGTCAGCCTGGGGTTTCATGACACAACCCGCACTGTGCTGGTATGATAGTTAGAAGCATAGGAAGGTAACTCAGTAATGCTTTGTGTCAGCACTCAAGGGAATGTGATATAGAACTGTGTACACTCATAATTTGACTTCCCAAACTTATCCTTTCGATTCCTTCCTCTCCTTTCTCTTCCCACCTAAGCCATGTGTACCATAACCCAGTGGTTCTCAAAGTGTGGTCCCTGCATCCGAAGCATTAGTGTCACCCAGAAACATTTAAGAAATATAAATTCATGAGCCCAGATTAAGGGAATCAGAAACTCTACGAATGGGCCCCGTGATCGATCTATCTATCTATCTATCTATCTATCTATCTATCTATCTATCTATCTATCTATCTATGTTTTTGAGTTGGAGTCTCACTCTGTCACCCAGACTGGAGTGCAGTGGCCGCTGCTGGCCACTGCAGCCTCGACCTGCTGGGCTCTGGCGATCTTTCCGCCTCAGCCTTCCAAGTAGCTGGAACTACAGGCGCGCGCTACCACGCCCGGCTAATTTTTTGATTTATTGTAGAGATGAGGTCTCGTCAAGTTGCCCAGGTGGGTCTCGAACCTGCGGGCCCAGGCAATCCACTCACCTCGGCCTCCCAAAGTGCTGGGATTATAGGCTGAGCCACCGAGCCCGGCCCATGATCTATATTTTAACAAGTCTTCTAGTTAATGAAGTTCGCTAAGATGTTAGAACTGCTGGTATGAAATAGTCTTTACATGTTGGCTCTACTAGAGGTGAGGCATACAACACTTCATGCTTTGGTTTCACACAGTAAGAATTATTCCTTTAGAAAATTCTATTTTCCCCAAAAGCCATTCATTCAAAAGCCATGTGTTGAGCATGTTCTATCTGCAAGACATTGCCCGTTGGCAACAGCCATGAATATATCTGGTAGCTTATTGCATAATACCTATATTTTAGCAATTACAAATTATGCTATAAAATTGACTTGCAGCAGGCCTGGTGTTAGGAGGTCAGGAAGGTGTTCCTAAAGAAATGACATTTAAACAGAAAGAATGACTAAGAATGAGTCTGGTGAAGGGCTTAGGGGTTATTGTAAAGTCATTCTAGACCCTGAAAGGGAAAGGCCTGGGCACTTTCAAGGAATTGGAAGCAGACCAGTGTAGACAGGTCATGGTTAATGATTGGTGTTGAAGCTGGAAAAGCAGATCCGATAGATCATACAGGGACTTGTAAAGATAAAAGATTTTGCACTTTCCACAGAGGGCAACTTAGAGGTCATTGAAAAGTTTCAATCTTGGGCTAACATAATCTGATTTATGTTTGTTAAAAATTAAATATAATTCTTTTATTAAAAAAAGCAAAGACATTCCCCACTGGACATTACTGGAGGTATAACAGTATGGGGAGCTAAATTCCCGCTCAATTATTATCGGCTGATAGAGGCACTTTCTCTGAATAAGGCTGTGATGAGACTGAGAAAGAGGGTGGAGTGTCTGTGTGAGGACTAAATGCCAGGAACAGAAAAGGAAGGCGGGTTTAAGAGCTCCTTCCGCTTTGTGGTTGTGGCTGAGAAGGGTCCTGCTTGTGCCTGTCTGAAGTAGCAGGGGGCAAAATTCAGAGGAACTGCTGCTTCTCTCAGGGATCATCTTCTTCCCTGCCTGGAGAACGTGGTTCTTGGGCTGCACCTATTGGGAGGCTTTCCTCCTACATATGACCTCTTCAGGAGATTTAATTCATCTTCTAGGTATCAGTGCTGCCTCCTTCAGAAGGATTTCCACATCTCTATGTCCTCCCTGGCCCTGGCCTTGAGAAGGCACTCCATGTGGACTATCTTTTGTACTTTTGCCCTGTGCTAACACATTGTGTTAACAAGAATTGCACATATGCAATTGTTTAGTGTTGGACTGCAGATAGTTTACTAATGACTTAAAAAGTATATGCATTCAGCTCTGACTGCTCTCCTGAATTTCAATAACACGGCTCATATTGTCTGCTTGACAGCTGACCCTGGATTGTCATTGCAACCACAAACAGCCTGCCTGTAATGGAACTCACCATGTCTTTCCCAAATCAACTTGCCTCTGACCTCTCCTGTCTCTGTTCATTAACCTCAGCATTTACTATCATTCAAAGTTCCAAGATTTGGAGTCACTATTGATTCCTCTGTCTTATACTCTTACCAAATCCAAACTCTAAGATGGTCTCTGGTCACTTGGTGGAATGTCCATTTGCCATTGCTCTTCCCTTTCCTCCACTTGTCATCATCCTAGTATCCTATTTAATTCGCAGGAGGATGCTCCACCCCCAGCTCCTCCAAAGTCTTGGTGCCATTCTCAGAGTACCCTCAGGGATGGTGGTGGCTGGGCATGTGACTCTTCATCAAGCTTACAGAATGTAGTAAAGTTTTCTGTGTTATTTTTTGCAGTGTTAAAACCTCACTATATAAGAGAGATAATCTTGAAGATTCTCTGGTTGAAGAAAGGCTCAGGCAAACACGATCCCTTTCAGTTTTTGAGGCAACTTCCTTAGAACTGAGGAGGTCCACTGAGGAAGTTTGAAAACAGATTTGCAGAACAAACACCTTAGAATAAAATGTATGTTTTCCTCAAAAAGTCTTGCTTTTGGCAAAAATCCATTTGTCATCAATTTATGCAAACCTTCCAACCTAGCCACACATATTCATGTAAAATATGTAAGTGTACGGTGTCAGCCCCTCATCCCTGTGGACTAGTGGTATCTTCTGGGCCTAGGATGCCATCCATGCATCTCTGCTAGTCTAAATTCTGTTTTTCTCAGCCCCAGTCCTTCCTCTTTTAAAGAGGTTTCTGACTCAGCAATTTTTCTTTCCTCCTATCCTGCAGTATTCCTTTTCTTATATTCACCCTGAGCTATAACTTTTGTCTTTTTGGATATGCATTCAGTCTCTACCACTTAGACAAGAGACCATATAAGGGAAGAAACAAGTCTTTCACCACTTTTTGTCCTTAGCACCTAGTATAATATGCTGCCCATAACATTCACTTGGTTGGTATGTTTTGATGATAATCCACAGCAGAAAATAATACCAATAGGTCCATCAATCTCATTTTCATTAACAGAAGTCCGAGTTAAATATCCTGTCTGTGAAAGTGTTCCTCCAGAACAATGCTTTTAAGTTAGAAGAACAAGTCACTATGACTTTAATTGCAAGCATTACTTTTTTCTCCAATTACCACTAAGCCTACAAATAGCTTCTTCGATTGTCTTTCATTAAATTATGTTGGAAGTTAGATTTGGGGAATAACAGATGGTTGTAAGTCCGAAGTTTTCAGACCGGAAAGCGTGGTTTAGCTCATTTCCTGATTTTCCAGCAAAGGTATATATAATTCATATTCTAGAGACTATGAAACTTTGCATTAATATATAAATCCTATGTTGTTACTTCCTTGTAAATCCCTTTTAAGTCCCTGATCATGTTGCACATAGCCGTGTGTGGCAGAGACCTCACCACTGTCCCTTCCTCTCTTCCACACCCATCTGCCCACTCACCACATCTACCCAGCAGCAGGCTCTCAGCTCCCCGGTTTGCCTCGCTCCTTCCCTCCTCCTTCCTCCTGCTAGTGTAGTATCTGCCTGGATGGTCTTCCCTGCCTCTGTCCTGACCAATTTCTGTGAGCTTCAATCTGGTTGTGACTTCTTCAGATAATTTTTCTCTGATTTCCCAGAATAGGTGAAGTTTCCTTTTTATGTGCTTTCATATTTCTTATAGTGATTATAATTAATTAACTGTGGATTAATTTGTTTTGTGTCTGTGTTCTCTATTAAACCATAAGCTCTAAAATGTCAGAAATTATAAAATCTTATTCACTATTATATTTTCAATGCCTAGAATAAAGCCCAATGCATAACAGATACTTGAATGTATAAGTGAATGAGCCTTTTATGAATGACTGTCCTATAAAAGTTCAGAGAAAATAATCATCCTGTTATTCACACCCAAAACTTAATTCTCCTTTTGCTTCTGCCCTGAATGGCCATGAGCAGCCTTTTCTTGGTCACGTAATTCACATGAAACATGCATACATGCTTTATAAAGTAACTTCTACTTGTATAAAGCAAAACAAATCAACAGAGCATCATGCAATGAAAACTTGGCTTGCTCCCAAACAGAATCCAAACAGCTCAAGTGACATGTATGTAATACGAACACATATAAAACAATTGTTTTAAAATTGTCTTACTTATACATTCTAGCATAAATAGCCCTATATTTATTTTTAACATAAAGTATTTTGAAAATGTTTGCTGTTGGGTGAAAAATACAAGAAATAAATCTCATACGTATAAAATGGCCACATGTTGAAATCTTTCAGTATATGATTATCAGTAGTTACTGTGATCCCCTTCCCTAAAGACTCCAGCAACTCCACTGGACTTGTCCACGACCTGTTTCTGTGTCCTTTCAATCTTGAATTACCCTGCTGAGTCAGACAACTGGAGAACAAACTAAAGTCAGTTGCAGAGGACTTTCTTTTTTTTCTGATACAAAACTCTGACTTTAAAGAACCCAAGCCTTGAATATCTTTTGTCAGCGGCCAGCACTTCACCAAATTTGCATTGAACAGTCTACAGTGGCACACTCACTCTTAATTCCTCCACATTGTCTTAACCGGAATGAATATAAGACTCAACTGACTTATTCCCTTTACCAGGATAAATCATTATTGAATTAAAAGAAAGGAAGGGAGAAATCTAATTTTATTCTGTAAGAGCTTTCAAATCCATGGATACTTTTGCATTATTCTTCTCATACCTATCTTTTCTTGTTTTATCACCTTACATCCAATCAGAAAAACAACAGTATAAACAACAGGTTAAGTTTTAAGAGTAGGTGTCAAACACACACCTAACTCATAACAAGAAGAAGTATATTTGGAAGACATCTAGCCTTCTCCATAGTGACTGACCTGCACACGTCTAAATTATCAGACTCATCGTCACAGGTGACAGGAGGCTTCTGGCTAAGGTGATGCACCTGGAGCCCCGCATCATCCACGTACTTGCTGCCTTCTGTAACTGCCAGGATTTCAGTACTGGAATCTGTTTCTGAAAGTCTCTTTTTTATTATTTCATTCGGCCTAAGACTCTGCAAGAGCTGAGGATCTCTGTGGTGATATCTACCTTTGCTGTTCTCATGGTTCCTTGAGGATCTCTTAATATCAAAGGATCCTCTAGTCAGAGAAGGGCCACATTCTTGGTATCTTGTGCCTTTTCCTCTGCGGAGATTTAAAGAGCAGTTCTCACATTCAGTCAGTTCTTCTTGCTTTTTACCATTGGATCCCAAATCACCAAGCTCAATTCCATCAGGAGAAGAGGAGCCATCAAAATTTTCACAAGGCTTGTTATTATTTCTCCGTCTTCTTCTCGACAGTCTGAATTTAACCTGGGCTCTTCTCTTTGCCTGAATCCAGTGACTCTCATCTGTGGAAGATGAATCTGAAGAATCCGTATAAAGCTCCCTCCATCTGGAACTTGGGAGCTGAAGGTGAAAATCACTTCTTCTCCCCTTTATTTGCTCTTCTGCATGCTCATATCTCTCAGAGACCCTTTTCCTCCTCCTAGGTCTCTGTTTTACCGGTTTCTTACCAGACTCCTTCCTAGCAGGGCCCAGCACCATGACAGGGGTGCAGTACTCAAATGACTCTTCTGACATGTCATGCAAGATGGAAGATCTAGATAAAGCAGCAGGCAAAGGATGGGAAATGGGAATGGAGAGGAAAGCCATGGAAAAACAGAGAGAAAGAAAGATGAAAACGACAGCATGGACCAGAAGTTGATAAATAAAGACCAACCGAAGAAAATGAACTAAATGAAAAATATTTAGCCATTATAAATTGTCCATGGACAATGTAAAGCAGAAGCAAAAGCCACAGATTTTCAGATAAAAAAACAGCAAATACCAATCTAAAATATACCAGGTAAGGTCATTTGCTCAGTGCTTACCTGCAGATGTCCTGAGTGGATGGACAGACAGACAACCTTGACTGACTTCTGGGAGCTGTTCCTGTTGTTGGACTGCTTGCCTGGAGAAACAAGTTAGATAATTTGGCATCTTGGTTAAGGTAATACATGGTTGATATCTTGTTTTTTTTCCACATATTTAAAAAATTACAACAAACGTGGCTGCCGGTCATGTTGCTCATAACACAGCACAGAGAATATAGGAAGTTAGAGGGTTTGTTGTGCAAAAGTAAAACTTATTTGAGGAACTTGGAACAGCTGAGATGCTGTACTGTTTTGCTGTTACTTCATTTGTGAGAGAGGAAGATGATTCCACAAGTTTCTATTCTATTTACTGTAATCATTTGAGTGGAAATAGCTCGATTTGCTTAGGAAACAAATGAGTAGCACTTGAAGATCTTATGGCAGAAGGGACTAAAGTGCTATTATGTGATCAGGATGATGATAATCTGGGAAGCCTAAATGATCAAATAGCATTAGACTGCTAGTAGTACTGCCTGGACCTGTAAGAAAATATATTTGAAAATGGTTTGTAATATTTAAAAGTCTGCAGATGTTGCTATTATTTCATTATCAAAACTAATTAAGATCTATCCATTGCAACACAATTGACCTTTCATAACTTTTAATCCCATAGCCATGCTGAGTCTGAGAATAAGAAACCTAAAACCATTTAGGTTACTGGTACCCAGTTGAGAACATCTCAGTAAATTTCTACCTTTGAAACCCAGCGTTCTATTCACTCAAATAGATTTTAATTTGTTTTGTTTAATATAGATAATGACGATAAATAAAAAGCTAGAACATAGGGATAATTTTTTGTGTTATTATTAGCTCTCACAAGTGGGAAGTACAAATGATCTGGCAGTTTTGAGTGAATATTATATGCTAGTCACTGTTCTAAGCCATTTCCATATAGTCATTTATTAATACAATAAGGCTATGTGGTAAATGGGTAATAATAATTATAATTATGTCCATGTTACAATTGCAGAAACTGAGAAAGTGAGGCTGCTTCTCACTAGTAGGTGGAAGAGCAGACAGCTGGAGCTGTCTACTATCTACTCTGGCACCACAATACACACAATACAGCTTCTCCCTCTTCAAATGGGAGGAAACCACCCTTGGTTCAGATCCAGGCCTGAGTGTTTGCACTGATGAAATACACAATGTTGTCACCAAGGAAACAACAGTAAAGGTAGGAAGATTACCCCCAATTTCAAAGTCATTCAAAAAATTCCCATATTTGAGATATATTCTTATGATTGTGGGATTCAGAGAAGGAAAAACTAATTCTAACTCAAGAGGTCAGAAAAAATTTCAAAGAGGATATAGTAGGCTGAATAATGGTCTCCTCATTCTAAGTTTTGGAAATAAGGAATATGTTTTCTTACAAGGTGAAAGAGACATTGCAGATGTTTGATTAATTTAACAATCTCGAGTATTGCTTGATCCCAGGAATTCAAGACTAGCCTGGACAAGATAGCAAGATCTCGACTCTTGCAAAAATATCAAAAAGTTAGTCAGGTGGGGTGGTGCATGCCTCTAGTCCCAGCTTCTTGGGAGGCTAAGGCAGGAGGACACCTTAGCCCAGAAGGTCAAGGTTATGGTGAGCCATGATCATGCCATTGCACTCCATCCTGGGTGACAGAGTGAGATCATGACTCAATAAACAGACAAGCAAACAATCAAATAAATATCTTTCTATTTTCTGTGAAAGAAAGACATATACTCATGTACCAACATCATCCCAGATAAAAATTAAAGGCTATAAATATTGTCATATTTCATAACACATATAGCCAAATAGCTAATTTCTTTAGTGTTCAGAAATCATTCACAAATCAAGAAATAAAAATTGATCAATCTTATAGAAAAATGAGTAAAACACAGACAGTTCACAGAAAAGTCATGTGTATAAAGATTGCTCAATCTCAATATGCAAATAAGTGGAAATTCAGTTAGTAATGGTATTCACTTTAACTTATCAGATCAGCACATTTAAAGAGATTGATAATATCTGTCATAGCTGAGGTGGGGAAGTCATGAATTGATGTATATTGTTGAAATAATTGTAAATTGGTACAACTTATTTAAAGAGAAATTTGATAAATTTCCTTAAAATAGAAAATGTCTATGCCATTGAAGTTGGAAATTCTACTCATAGAAGTTAATTTTGTTACAATGGTTGCACAATTGCCCAAAGATATGTTTACAAGAATGTTCATTATAGCATTGTTTGTAATAGCGAGAAATTGGAAACAACCCAAGTGTTAATTATTTACTATGAAATACAAAAGCCATTAAAAAGAATGAGGTATGCCCCACAAATGCACACACACAAACTCACATACACATAAATTTATAGGATATATTTTTAAGAGAAAAATCAAGTTTCAAAATTGTATGTAGTGTGATTTCATTTGAGTAGACAGTGCTTTAATGGTTTGTTTATGTATGCATAATAAAAATTTGGAGCAGGACACATCTCACCATTTAGCAGTGATTATCTTTGTGAGGTGGATCATGCAAAACTTTTATTTTTCAGGCAACATAGTTCCTTGATGTTTAAAATTTCTAATTTTAATAACAGGAAAAATACATTTTTAAGCATGTTGATCATGTCATAACTGACAGTTGTTAATATCAAGACTCAGGGCTTGTTTTTTCTCTCGAATTTAAGATCAAATCTTTGCTTACCTAACCTCTTTAAGCTCCCTTTTCTCCTACAACTAAATGTAGTCAATAAAAGAATTGTGAAGAGGATAACATGACATTTTTGATCACATAACTGTTTTGTAGAGTGTCCAAGAGTTGTAATAGGATGCTAATCTTGAAATACTAGAATTATTTTTATTAATTCCCAGTAAGTCCAAGTTTCCAAGGGCTCTGTATATTGATCAGGAGAAAGACACAAAACAGCCTTGGGCCAGTGACTCTCAGTCTTGGCTAAAAGTTAGAATTGCTGGGGAATTCTAAAAAATACTTTTGCCTGGGCCCGATTCCAAAATCTCTGATGAAGGGGACCTGGGGCACAGGACCTGATATTAGTATTCTCAAAAGCTGCCCCAGTGACTACAATGTGCCTCCAGAGTCAAGAACTACTGGCTTAGGTCAAAGGCGGCACCGTCTTACTTTAAATTTTATATTATTTTTTTCTGAGACTCCAGTGAGATACTATATTTTAAATCTTGATTTTTTTTGAAATAACAAAGTGTTTTCTAAATTTCTAATTCTCACTTTATATATCTAGAAGAGATCTTGGAGTTGTAAACATAGTTTTACTATAACCTATAGTGTAAGAAGACAGAAGGCATGACTTGGGGGAAATTCGCAGTGTGCAGGAAGAAGAGTCACTCTTGGCTTACTATAACCTGCTGCTGAAGAATGGGACAGGGAAAGAATGAAGCAGAAAATGTCACTGTTTCTACTTCCCATTTATCCACCCTGGGTTGAATGTGTTTTGGGGAGAGTGTGCAGGGGTAGGGCAGGGTATGTGGAAGACTCATTAGAATATTCCTGGGAGAAAACCAAGAGTGTGATGGTTGTTATTTCCTTCCCTGGAAGGATTGTGTGCCCTTCAGGTCATCTTCCCAGCTGGTATGGCAGTGCCCAGTGTGGCACCTGCATAATGGGATGGAAGTGATGGAGACAGAGGAACCTGAGGTAGCTCTCCCATTCCCCCAGCCTCATATAGAGGTGGAAATCCAGATATCCTCTTGTCTATTCCTGGGTATGGGAAAGATAACAAGATTTCTCACTCAGGGACGTCACCAGGGGTCACCAGAGTTAAGGTTAATATGGCTTTATAACAGTGGGTCACAGAAAAGACTACCCAGCCAAGAAGCCTGATATTGCCGGTGATAGCTGAAACCGGGTTGGAAGACCAGAGCCCTGCTTGACTAAGACTGAAGGGCTGGCCAGTAGGCCCACCAACCAGGACCACCTTAGCAACAGGTGGGAAAAACCTGGGGGGCAGAGTTCTAAACAGAGGTCCCTGACTCACCGTATTCAGAAAATGGAAGGAAAATCGGAAGAAACTGTGGAAGACTGAATGGGATTAGGTTCTGAACCAGTGGAGATGCAAGACTTTTTTTGTTTTTAAGAGAAAAAAAAGAATCAAACATTTCCCACATTCACAGTAATGGGAGCTAAGGAAGAAGATAAAGACTAAGATCACTTTTAGATAATCACATGCTTCCCCCTTATATTGTGCAAAATTTACCACACTGCACACTAAGAATCATGTGGGATCCCTAGGAAACTCTGTGTAGCAAACATCGGTACCATGTGCTGATTAAAAATCCTAGATGTAGGAGAAAATGATCTTGAAGTTGAGTCTATGATCCTGTGGAATAAAAATGGTGCATAAAGGAAGAGGCAGACCAAACAGCAAAAAATAGAAAAGAGTGACCTGGCAAGTCAGCTAATGCTCTGTTTGGCACACCAGGGTTTGGAAGAAACTAATCATCTTTTCAAAAAGGGAAAGCCAAGTCTGCCTTGGGCAAGTCATAGCATTAGGGGAGTGGCTGAGAGCAAAGAGAGGTTCTTTCAGCAGGTCAAAAAGAAAAGATGCAACTAGATGCAGAATCTAGCCAGTCTTGAGAGGCCTTTTCCAGTCAGCAGGCAGAGTTACTCTGGTGTGCACAGGCCAAGCTCAGTCAGGAGACACTTTCAGAGGTGGAATAGTGATCGTCAGCAGGAAGGGCCAGGCAGGAGATTTGGTTTGAAGTAAGAGCCCTTGTCACCTTCCATTGCTTTGGACAGAAATGGCTACCCAATCTTAGTAATATGGACTGGATCAAAGAGAAGCTCTGCCAGCGGTTCACCCTGAACCACTGTGGCCAGAAGGTGATAAGGCTAGTTCTGAAGCAAGGACTGTCTCCCTGGGTAATGACTAGGAACCATTCTGTAAGGAGCTGGGAACCCGTCATAGTTCCCAGGCTACCTTGTAAAATGTATTAATTCTGGAAGCTAGGTAGGAAAACAGACGCAGGCAGTTGTCTGTGATATTCTGGGTGATACCCCTTCAGTTCACTTCTCACAAGTGCCAACTAACCTCATGGTGATGATGCCCTATGCCAATGAGTGTCACTTAGCTTCTACTTTCTACTCCTGATTCCATAAGAATACACTGCCTTGCACATGCCTGAGTGGGAGGGAGTTAGGACTT